GGGATTAAGTGGACCTATTTGGGACGCCGATAGGGATTAAGTGGACCCATCAGGACGCTGATGGGGTATATAGGTGACCTACTTGGGACGCCAGTAGGGTATTTTGTGAAATCCTTTGAATTATGTACTGCCGTTAAAAGTGTTATAAGCATTTCAATTACTCGGATTAGACTTAATTATGCATTTATTGAAAGTGAAACTGTTGATGCATTTCTGTTAATAGATCTAATTTTGGAAAATATTGATATCTTTCAATCATGATTATTTTTAGGATTATGATGATCATTTACTGAGTAGCCAAACTCATCAAACTATGGTAAACATTTTTTCAGGATAACTGCGGATTCATTTTGAGTGATAGTCAAGATCAACCTTGGAAGATACTGTTTTTGTACTAGCTTTCTTTATTTACTTTGTAAGACCTCGCCACTGTAAATTTGTCCTATCAATAGATGTATATATGTTTTGTCCGTCACATCTCAGGAATAATAGTATTGTAAATTCTTGGGGTGTGACACAGTATATGTATAATTTATTTGACAAACACCTTATATTATGCATAGAGTCATGTATGTAAAATGTACTTTGCCATAGCAGAAATGATTTAAGATATATTCAGGGAAGAAAGAAACACGCTATCAATTATATTTTTGAAAATGATACTAATCTTGTTGGATTTTCTGATTGTGATTGGACACACTTCCGAGGGTATATCATGGTCATCATAGAAGTAAAATATTGTATCTCTAAGCAACCGAATATATCTCAACAATAAGCAGCAATAATCGCAAAACATGTGAAGCAACCGAATATATCTCAACAATAAGTAGCAATAATCGCAATATGTGAAGCTGTTTGGCTCAGAAAAATTTTATTAAAAATTTTATCAGCAATAAGCGTTGTTTGGCTCAGAAGAATTTTACTCGCCTTACAACTGTTTGACTCTCAGGAAAATTTTTGTAGCCTTGCAGCAAAAGAAAAATTAATTCCCCCACGATCCAATATTTCAAAGGCAATCGAAACATATGTATTTTATAAAAACGACAATTTTTATCCGAAATGACAAATTAAAGAGGGATGTTAAAATAACAATTTGTCACGTAACAAAACCCTATCCCATCCACTCCTTTCTCTCTCTAGAACTCACTCTTCACCTTACCATAAATGGAGAAAAAATGGAAAAGTCAAGCGGTTGCGTATTACTTACTGAAGAAAAAAATAGAGTTGAGTGTTAGTTACTGAAGAAAAAACATAGAAACCGAGGCTGCCTTAGTTCATGAAAGACCGTGAAACCAAGAGGACCGCCAAAGAACATTGCAGAATGACGGTGTAACAGGCGGTAACAAATGAAGGTGCATATGGCGGTGCAAAATACCTATAAAAAGGGATTCAACATGCTTGGAAATTCTGAAAATCCATAAAAATAAAATAAAATAAATTGGAGAGATATATGTAAAAGAAACCTCAAAAGAAGGTTATGGTCCTAAAGGCCATTATATTTGCTTGTTATCGAAATCATTTTTATTGTAGCAATGAAATAGTGAAATATAATACTGCTTCCTCTTCACCTTTACTATTATTCTTTGCCATTTTTCAATCAAATTATTATATCTGCAAATTTCCAACAGGGACTACACACCCAAAGGAGAGAATTGAAGAAATTCCCAGCAACAGGGATTACACATCCACTAAATAAGTTCTAATGAGAGAATTGAAGAAAATAAACCAGTCAAATTCTACCAAACCACAAAACAAAAGAGTGGGGTGATTACCCACTCCCAAAATTCCTAAGATAAAATTAAATGTTCAATAAAATTAAAGGAAGAAAACCAGTAAAATTAAATGTTCAAGTTCACCAAAAAAAAAAAAGTTTAAGGAAGAAAACCAAGAGAAAAGAGGCAAATTCTTATTGCTTGTGTCCATGACAAGCCTGTGACAATGGAGTTGGAGGATCAGAGAATGTGCCATCAACAATTTTGTTGAAAACCCATTGATTCGCAGCCTGTGTGTAATGAACACCATCCCAGATTATGGCTTTGGAAGGGTTGTTGCATGACTTGCCTATCACCACTTTCTGTCCGTCCTTATATATCGCACTTCCACACCCAAAATACCTGTTGTAGTTGTACTTGCCACCATGCCCACAACATGCCCTCAAAGGATTCCCAAAACCTGCATCGAAAAGTTTTTAGACACCATAAAATGGGTGTAAAAAGCATTCTGCACAGGGAAATGCCATAAAAAGAGTTGGTGATGAATTCTGCTAAGGCATATATTAAGAATAGAAAGAATATGAGGAGTCTTACCAGTTTCTTCACATAAACACTGTTGCAATAGAATGGCTAAAATGTGTTTGTTCAAATTGGAAGAATCTAAACTATCACATTATTCATGTTAACCATGTACAGAGGTTGTCCTTGGATTTCATTGATACACATATTTTATTTTCGAATGGCAAGATTTTGCATTCTTTTTATATTACGAATAGCAAGATTTTGCATTCTTGTTAAATTAGGTGCTGCAAATTAATGAATGAAAATTTATTAGGTGCTGCAAATTAATGAAAATTTCAAGGGCATATAATAGGTAGACATCCCCAACTACATTCCATGGGATGAGGATGAAGTTTGAAAGTGTGAATATGTTTTGTCATTTATAAAGAAAAATGTCAAAAAACAGGGGGTTGATATTTGAATGCATATCAAATGTAGCTCACCATATTTACGGGCTCCGCTAATGAGTTGATACTTGACTGAGTAAACATCGACATAAGTAAATGTGGCATCTGGGAGGTCGCTGCGGAGTTGAATAACAGTTTCTTTCAACAATTGGTTGAAGTATTGGGCCAGATGGTTGAAAGGGGTCGCACAACCAGCCATGTCCACCTGAGGTACTAGTATAGGCAGCCTATCTATTACATATGCCAAGCAGCCAACAGGACCAGTGTTATGAATCCAAAAATATCTTCCACCTTGCCAATAAACATTCTGAAAGAAAGACAATGTATAATCAGCTTCATGCTCATAAATGTAAAGGATTGTAAATGTCTTTTGATTTTTTCATTACGCATTGATTCAAATGTGCATTAATATTTTCATCGGCAAAAATAGTAGTTCCTCCCAATGAGGGTCCGAAATTTTGAAAACAAAAAACCCAAAAAATTGCTTCTTAAAGTAAAAATGCAGTGAACAAAAAAGAAAAAAGGTGATCGATTGACACCCAAGAGTTCCTTTTTCTTTTTTTCTATGCAAATTTTATAAATTGCAGATAAACATTTAAAAATAAAATAAAATTGTTATGTGCTCTTAAATGCTATATTAAGCTGTGCATAATATGAATGGTCCACGATTGACATGTGTTAAAAAAAGAGTGGTCTGGATTTATTTGACATGTCTCACTCAGAAAAAAATTTCAAAACAATGTTGTTACCTTGATGGCAGTGGAGAACTTTTCAAGAATATCAGGAACACTGGCCTTGACTTGCTCAACAGTCAAGTTTTGAAAAAGTCCAGCAGTAAGATCATTTTGGCCGATATCAAATGTATATAATGCTTCCGAGAAGTAACTTTGCTTTGGCAACAACTCTTCAAAGACCCCACCTGCAAAGGGCATAGTCTCAACCTTATTATGCATTATCTCTGAAAATCTCAAAACGTCAATGTCATAATTCATTTGAAAAATGAACCCACCTTGCTGGCGAAAATAGCCCGATCTAGACTTGAATTGTTCGAATTGAAATAATTGTACATCCAAGGAAATGGGGCTGTATCCAGTTTGAGTTAAGGTCGTGTTTTGAGGCCTGATTGTAGACCCAGCTGTTGCAAAGTTGGCTCCATGGCTGAAGTTTGTGCCCACTGAGTCTAGATAGGCACTCAAGTATGGCAAGCCAAAGCTTTGGGCTGAAGAACACAATAGTATAGGAATTAGGAGAAACATTACAGAATTTTCTCTATTTTGGAACGGAATATAGGAAATGTTCATTTTGAGGACAAGTGCATAATTACCAGAGGAAGCCATAAAAAAAAATAAAAATAAAAATAAAAAATAAAATTAAAAAAAGAAAAAAGAAGAGAGAGACCACCATATCATGAAATTAATCATAGAAATTTCATGGGTATTTAATCTTCTCATATACGATAATAAAGCTATAAAGCTCTATTCTTCTTCCATTGGTGAAGTACAAACTCAACACAAAATGGCCTTAGGATGCTGTAACAAATTTTCTTGTTATGAACTCCAATACAAGGAAGTCTTAAATTTTTTGGCGATCTTTGTTTAAATCAATTATTTTTTCAAAGGTTCTCATCATATTCCACCTATAACTCTCTATAATCTTTCTATTCTTAATCAGTGTCAAATCAAATATGATTTCACAACAAATTCTTATTAGGAAAACAAGTCTTAACTACTAATCAATTCATCAAATCAACCAAATAAATTTTTTTCAGTAGAGCAACTTTAAAAATAATCTGAAAATACAATTAATTGATATTTCTTATAGTTCCATGTTTTTCTATTTCCAGAAGTTGGTTTGTTTTTTGACAATCATTGTGCTATTTAAGAACTTAAATATTGGAAATGTATTTGATAAGCGTGTTTGACATGGAAGTAATCTCCATACTACTTCGTATCTGACATCTGTACCAAACATCCAACGGTTGTCGACCATTCCTACACTTTAACGTGTAGGCAACGAACCAACCCGATCTCTCCTTTTCATAGAAGTTGTAGGATTTCTCGCACAATTTATGCAACACTGTTATCATCTAGTTATGGAGGTGCTTTATTAACATAATAATAGGTGTTCTATTAACAGAATGTGTTGGCATTTGCAATTAAAGTTATGAAAAGAAAATCAAAGATATTATTTTGCAATCAAAGTAACAAAAGGAAAGACAATAGATGTGTTTTTTTTTAAAAAACAATTAAAGCTATAAAAGGAAAGGAAAAGCCATTTTCAAATGCTTGTGCATCAAGATTGAGAGGCCTTATCAGAAAGGCTTTTGACTTCGTAGTAAAGTAAAGATTAGTGATACTTTGCATTTTGAAAAGCTGAAATTGCAAGTTCGAGTGTGAACAAGAGAATGCACTTTTACACTCACGAAGATAGCATATCTATGAGTATCTTCTTAGGTACCTATCTTATATTTATATTTAAGCACTCTAGAACCACCTAACAAGAGAAAAATCTTTGATGATGATGTGATAAGACATGTTGAAGGGATAAGGTTCCAATAAGTCATGTTTTGTTTGATGGTTAATCTAGATTTTCCTAGTGAGTTGCTTTTCTAAAGTCCAAAAAGAACTACAAAAAGTAAAGAAAGGAGTCTCATAACTTTATGGGCAATATACTAGAGCACTAAAGTTAATCAATTTATTTTTTCAGAGCCACAAATCTTATACTCCTAGGGGAGTATACTGTCTATTCACACCCTATGGTAAAATTTAATCTTAAGTATTTTTAAGACTTCAAGATCTACCTCATACAGTAACTTTCCAAAAAAAAAAAAAAAAAATTCAAATTTCACTTTATGGGGTATAAGAAAGATAATGTCCTCAAGATTGAATAGAGACTATCCAATTTTTGAAGGGTACATCTACGTGTTAGACAACTCAAAATCCAAATTTTTTTGTTTTAAAATAAAATAATAATGTAGCGATTGTGAGACGGTTCCCAAAATTGTCAACTAAAAAAAATTCAGGTTATCTATCAGAGGGAGTAAATGTACAGTATACGCTCCCATGGGAACGTATAATACATGCTCTTTTTAATTCTTTTCTTTCTATATCTCCATAGTGGTGCGACGTCCTCCATCACTGATAGTACTTAGAGATATACCTTTGTGCTTATTTCATGCATTGTACTCATAAAAGTAGATTTAGGTGGATTTAGGCCACAAAAATCTCAATTGAAGTTGATAAGCACCACTGAACAAATAAAAAGTCCAGAATCCATATGTAATTAGCAAAAAAAAACGACAAAGAGCTGTTATTTTATGGGGGGACAAAGAATGGGGGTTAAGCCCAAAGGTCGGACCATTAGGAATCAAATGGTTGGTCTGAGAAGTGCCACATGAAGAGGAGGGTACAATGCTAGTTCAACAAGACATAAAGTTTACAGAAAGATGTACCATCCTAATGTCTCTCTCTCTCTCTCTCTCTCTCTCCGGTCTACCTAATGTCCTCTCTCCCTCTCTAATTCTAATAAAAATAACAATTATAATGGTAGCAATGATTCTATAGAACGACTTAAAACTGATTACTGTAATGGATTTTGAGAAGAGAGGGAAAGGTATTTCACATCGAAGTTCTGCAAAACACTTCTAAAAAGCAAAAAAACGGCAAAGGAAAAAAACGGCAAAGCTTGTGAGGAAGAGAAACCAAAAGTTTTCAAATCACCGGAATATTATACTACTAATATCAGAAACCAATAATAGTAATATGAAAACAGCAAAGATTATGAGGGAGAGACTGAGAGTTTTTCAAATCACTGGAATATTATACTACTAGCATTAGAAAAACAATAATAGTAGTATGAAAAGGATCGGATCAGAGAGAGAGAGAGAGAGATTACCGGCGAAGTCGATGACGAGACGGCCATCAGAATATCTACCGGCAGGGTGGTGAAAGAAAGACTCTCCATTGGGAGGAGGGGCCTGCCCGAATGCAGCCGACAGACCGCCGGTGTCTGAGTTCGAGTCTCCGAAGTTGAAGATGGCCGGAAAGTGGCATTGTGTAGAAGAATGTGCACCAGTTTGGGCTGACGATGCAAATATAACGACCCAACAAAGGAGAGAAGCAGCCAATCTTTTGGAAGGCTCCATGAGAAGTTGAGAAGCTAAAAGATGAGATGTTGTACAGAGAGAAGAGATGCCATTTATAGGAGAGAGTCGAAAGGCAAAGAAAGGGGATGAGGATTTAAGAGAGATATGAGGAGGATTTAACGGAGGAGAGAGAAAATAATGCACGTCTAGATATGGAGATTGGAGGCGTAGAAGCGTACTTACCCAAAATGTTGATTTTTTTTTTTTTTTAACATTTCACAAAAAGAAATTTTCTTATTACAAATTTCTGGATTTTCTTACAATCATCGGTTACATGGATATATATATATATTTTAGATGCCTAGATATTAATACTCATAATCAAGAGATGTACAGACACTTATCTAATCTTATCCAGAGATGTATAGACACTTACATAATCCATATTCATATATATCCATAATAATGTATATCAATACTAATTATGTATATATAGTCTATACATATATATATCCATAATGGTGTATATCAATACTAATTATATATATAATGATGTAATTTATACTTACATGATACATATCCATCTACTAACTTCATCTAAGATGATTGGGTTTTACCGAAACGACCACATGGTCAGCAAAACCATCGAAAAGAGCAAAATTAGGTTATGATTGAGATTATTTTTGGGACCCAGTTTCTATGTGGCCAAACCCGCCCATGTAGAAATGCGGTCTAGCCCCCATCAAACAATTTTTTTTATTTTTGAGGAATTGTTTGTTATGCTTTTAAAGATTGAAACGAAATCAGAAAAGCCGTTCGAAATTTGAATCCTTTCGGCTGGAGGCGAATCCTTTACGACGTTAATACAATTAAAAAACAAGTTTACAATTAAGAAAGAATACAATTAAAAAACAAGTTTACAATTAAGAAAGATGTCTAAAGTTTTTAAATTCTAAAGAAGGGCTGTGGGTCTATATTGGCCTAACCCTTAGAATGGTCATAATGGTATACAAAATTAATTTCTCTTTCTCTCTTTAGAAAATGATTCTCTCTAGAAAAATGAATCTCTCTCTCTCTCTAAATGTTAATAATAGTGAACAAACTGAAAATCTCTCGATCTCTCTCTAACAATCACAAAATGAATCTCTCCCTCCCTCTAAATGACAATAATTAGTGAATAAACTGAAAATCTCTCAATTTCTCTCTCTCTCTCTGTCTAATAATCAATCATGTTCAAAATGTATTAAGGAAAGAAAAAGCAAGAAATTGAGGGGGGGCTTACAAAGCTTTCTTTTTCTTCATTCCCTATTTGATTAAAATCTTCAAGACACGTGCTTAAATATAAGGTTTAGAGGACTATACATTGTATACTATAGAATGTTCCACTTATTGGGGACATTTTTTAAATTTATGTTGGCGTAATAATTTTAAAAAAATTTAAGAATAGGAAATGATTAAAATAGAAACTTTTGAACTTGCTCAATAATTGAAAGTGAGGTATCTGTCAACCAAATGACCATTACAACCGCCTTAGGCTTGAATTGAGGAAGGGCATTTTGGGTTTTTGATTTAAGAAATCGTGGATTCTGATTTCTGATGGGATGGAGTATGGGGATTTTTGTTGGTATTTGTTTTTGGAGAACAAGACAAGATTTTTGTGGACCTTCGTGATGTTATTGAACGCATCCTTGTGCTCCTAACTATTGGCGAATATCAACGTACGACTTACTTACCCAAAAAGTTGAAGAAATGTATAAAGTAAAAAGATTTATTTCGATATTAGGAGATCACAATTATTATTGACGTAAAATCAAGCGGTTGAAGATATATCATTAGTTGGACACAGTATTTAACATAAATTTTCTCGAATGTTATAGCACACCCGATCTCTTAAATTTTATATTCAATGGCTAAAAACTAATTGTAACTTCAATAGCTTCATAATATACAATCTCTGAAATTATTCTGAACGAGTTTAACATACCTTTAAACGGCTTCTATTACGTTCATGCAAATAAACTAAATACCCATGTCTTGATATCTTTAAAAGGCCTAGCCATGATATTGTAGAAAGAAAACATGAGTTTTTTTAAAAAAAGAAAAAAATTGCTTTAAGCATTGACAATAATATGTCGAAAATATATAATCACTTATTTTTGATATAAAAGAGTCAAAATCATCATTGACCGTTAAATTTGAGGTCGAATGGCTAAAAACGTGTCGTCATTTGAGCATATAAGGGACATATTGAGTTGTCGACCTAGCAAGGTTGGATTAGGTATTTACGGATTTCGTGAGGACACATAAGGGACATATTTCGGCTGTGGACCCCAAAGCATAGGCCTCGGCTTGTGGAAAGAGAATCGTCACACGTGAAGAAGGGCTGTTTTTTTCGGCTATTTTTAGTATGTTCACTAAAATTTAAGGATATGTTCAGTGAATTTTGAATTTCAAGGATTTGATGAAGGAGATGAAGAGCACCAATTTTATCCCAAATATAATACGTAAGATACTGAAATTTATGAAGCCAAAACATGTTTCCTGCAAATCTTATATTGGGAATGAAAATCATGGTAATTTATCTCTCATGGTTACAAATTTTGAAATTTAATGGATATTGGAGAGTTGATAAGACATATAAAGATACAATGAAGAGTAGATATTCTGGATAAGCGATAGGTAACAAATATACTTACCCAAAAAAGTCAAAAAAAGGCCAAAATATTTCCTACTCTTGCACGAGGATACTATTCATTTGTCCTTGGGTCAAAACACATACTAGAGATACTTTTTAGACCTAAAATTTTAAAGATATCATCTCTAAATTTTTAAGGATGTCATCTCTGCAACCCATCTCAGTAAACAACAATTCTGAATTAAATTTCTTGAAAACTAATGCCTCAAGATTGAATATAGATTGTCCAATTTTTGAAGGGCATGATCTGTGTTAAAGAACTCAAAATTCAATATTTTCATTTCGTTGCCAAAATTTTAGATAAAAAAAATCTTCTTAGGTTTTTTGAGTGAGGGAGTAGACACATAATATGATCTCGCAGAAGCACAGTAGATGAACTCTTGAGAGAAAAGGTTGTTGTAATTGTTCCTACGTGTTCTGTTAGATAAATGTTCTCGATATATTAATTCATAATTAATACAAAATTAATTGGAGCATGATCTTATTATTATTATACTAATCCGCGTCATACAAAAGTACAACATTCAATGGAATAGGATATCTCCGAAGTAGGAGGTTAAGGAAACGTATCTTTTTGAATTTATCTAGTCTTAAAATAAGTAATCTGAAAAGAAATATCTAATTAGGAAAAAAACATCTTTATGTTATTAAGCAGTATCTAAATTTAAGTTAAATATTTTGGTGTAATAAGAAAAATCCCTAATCCCTAACTTTTAGGGATTTTATTTTTTAGGGAAATAATATTTTGCATGTTTTGAGAATGGGAATGGGGCTGAGGTTGTAGTGGAAGGACCACTTGAGCCTCAACTACCGGTCTAGGTTTCCATTCTTGACGCATTCAAAAAACCGCTAATCATTTCTAAAAACCCTACCAAAAAAACAGGTAGGCCCTGTATTCTCCATTGATCTACCAAAAACAATAAATCTACCAAACTACCTACCAAAAAAACAGGTAGTGCCCTGTATTCTCCACTGATCTACCAAAAATAATAAATCTACAACAGGTAGGCCCTATATGTATTCTCCATTGATCTACCAAAAACAATAAATCTACCAAACTACCTACCAAAAAAACAGGTAGGGCCCTGTATTCTCCACTGATCTACCAAAAATAATAAATCTACTTGATAGGGCCTGTATGTATTCTCCACTGATCTACCAAAAACAATAAATCTACCAAAAAAACAGGTAGGGCCCAGTATTCTCCACTGATATACCAAAAACAATAAATATCTAAAATTGTTAGCGCACAATATAATGAGACCATTTTCCTTTAATACAAGGTGGTCATAATTACTTACAATCATCTGATGTCAAATTTGATAGCTTGGATGTGTCACAAAGTTCCAAAAACTTTTTTTTTTTTTAAAGTTTGAGCTTGGTCAATGAAATAATTGCAGCCACCTAATTTCAAATCTAATGGCCAAGATTAATGTGACCACCTACTAAAGGTAAATGGTCTCATTCTATACTTTCCCATAAAAATGTGCATCACTTTTGCCTCTTGCTAGTGTCTAATGTTTTGAAAACCGGCGGGGTAGTTTAGCCGCTGTCTCGATCGGTGGATCAACAGCTTGGATTGGTAGATTGCTGGATCCGCCCAATCTGACCCAAAAAGAATTTCTAAAAAAAAATTTGGTAAAAAAAAAGGATTATGGACTTCTATTATTTTGTAAAAATATGTGAACATTGAGATGTTGTATGATGTACGAGTGTCTATAGATATTATTTTTTATGTTAATTTTGATACAATACTTTGATAAAAAAACTTATATTAATTTTATGAGGGACAAATATTGAGAATGTATGGTTTTTATTATTTCTCTTATTTTTCCAATTGAGCGATTTCAATGAACTCAGATTTGTCCCCAATTGGTCCAAAGCCCATTCGAACGAATCAATCAGCCCCCGCCCCCGCTCCCCCCTCCTTTTTTTCTTTTCTCAATATAGTCTATCTAAGAAAATAAATCATTAACAATTCATAAAAATGAAAAATTTAATAAACCTTTAATCGAAAAATTTAATAAACCTTTAATCTAGAAAATAGGTAAATGAGTCTTATTGCTTATGCTAAAACCTATTATAGTTTCTATGCAGCTAGCCCGCATATTGTAGAAATGCGAGCTTCAAAATAAATATATTTTTTAAATATAATTTGATCCTAATTTTAGAGAATATATAATCTTTAATATGGAGATCATGGATATGAAAAATAAAATAAAATTAAAAACTACAAATAATAATTATATTAAGAAAATATATGGAACGTTAGTTACACTTGTTTTTAGATGGACCACCTATTTGCATCCATCTTTAAGATGGATGCTTTATACCTCTAGACCGCATAATATAGAAATGCAATCCAGCCCACAAGAACCAATTTTAGGAATATTTGGGATTTATCCTTATACCAATGAGAGATGCATTATTTTGACATTTTACACTTTTGACATTGTTCCAACTCGTGATCATGTACATTACATGTGCCATTCAATGGAATAGTAACCATTCACATGTGGCACTTACATAGGTC